TCACTTCTTTCCACAAATCCTGGGGAATAGATTTCTTCTACCATACTTGAACAGTCCCACCCTTGCTGCTTTCATATTGTTGCTGCATATAGCAGGGATGCGGCTGTGGCCATTTTGAACTCCTCCCGGCTCCCACCATATAAAGTGACCTCAGATTCTCCAGTCCAGCTTGGAAGTTTCAGCACCTGCCCTATAAGATGACACCCGATGTATAAGATGACCTCCAACTTTTGAGAAGATTTTCCTGGGTTACAAAGTAGTTTTATATGCCAGAAAATACAGTGTACACACACACACACACACACACATTTGGATAGCATAGGGAATGGTCAACACCCCTGTGGTGTTTGTTTTGCTACCTGTGCCCCTGTTCAGAAGATTTTGCCTGTGATAACTGGACTTTGGAAAATTTGGCTTGTTATAGAAACAAGGATTGTTGATAAAGCTTCAGTGGAAATACCTCTTTTCCCCCATGATAACTCTCTCAGGAGTGAATTTCTATTCCAAGGAGTAGATTTCTCCCACTTCCTGTTGTCTCAGCCCCGTTCTTAACTCATAAATCATTTGTAACTCGGATGTTTGTAACTCTTGTTGTTTGTTTTGTAGTTAATATTATTCTTTGATAGTTTGTTGAATCTTATAAGTCTCTTAAGAGACAGCTGTCATGACTAGAGACCCCCGAATGGCATCAATAAATAAAATGCAGATTTTGAAATGGAGGAAGACAAACAAGGTTGGGCAAACAAGGGAGGCATTCTAGTGAATTTCCCCTTTGGCCTTACTTCCCCTTGTCAGCATTGCTGATGCTCCAAGATAGTCCAATATCTGGCAATGTAACAAAAGAACCGGGAGTGCAGGGAAAAGGGACTTTTTGCTAGTATGGATTCAAAAAATGTCAAACATTGCCACTTGGAACTGGTCTCTCTCTGAGCTAAAGCAGTGTTGCATGCAACATCATTAGTATTAGTATTATGCTGAGATCCTGTGAAGGCTATGCAAACATTACTCATGAATATTCAAATCCAAATGAAAAGGGAAGTTCCCAAATGAGAAAACTCAGAAGGGAAAAATCCTGAACCAACAAGGCTGTTTATAGCTTGGGATTTATTCTGCATGAAAACTGAGCCGTGTTTTCCCTCTCTTTGTGTGAAACAATTTGGAATTTTCTTTGCAGAAATCTTTTTTTCCACCTGAAGATTTTGGCACAGAATTATTAAAAACAATGTAGTTTCATGGGCTTCCTCACAGAAGGAGGGATGGCTTAGCTGAAGACTTTAATCCAGACTGAAGAGCTGCTATTGCAGAAATTCTGCTTTCGTACTTCTAAGGTATTGGACAGAAGTCCTAGAAGTCACCCTGGTAGTATCACTGGACAGACCCAACATCTAACTGGTATTATTTCAATAAACTTTGTAGGCCAGTGAATAGCCATTTTGGCTGTGGGTACAGAGCAGTGAAAAGAAAAAAGGAAAGAAGACCACCAATAGCCCTCTCATCTAATTCAGATTAGGACAAGCAACAATGGCTTCAAACTACAAGAAAGGAGATTCCATCTGAACATGAGGAAGAACTTCCTGACTGTGAGAGCCGTTCAGCAGTGGAACTCTCTGCTCCGGAGTGTGGTGGAGGCTCCTTCTTTGGAAGCTTTTAAACAGAGGCTGGATGGCCATCTGTCAGGGGTGATTTGAATGCAATGTTCCTGCTTCTTGGCAGGGGGTTGGACTGGATGGCCCATGAGGTCTCTTCCAACTCTTTGATTCTATGATTTAAGTATCAGTAACTGCAGGATATCCAGGGGTGAGTCTAGGACTCTTCAGGAGGCTGCATGAAATTTCAAAACCCTTCAATATGTTTGGAAGTCCACTTCTGTTCCCAAAAATGTTTCTTTTTTGATATGTAAAATTACAAAGAGGCCTTAAAGCCAGTTTTAAAATGAAGTTTATTTATTTATTTATTTATTTACAGTTCTTATATTCCGCCCTTCTCACCCCGCAGGGGACTCAGGGCGGATTACAGTAAACACATATATGGCAAACATTCAATGCCAGTTTGACAAACAACATTTAACAGACAAAGGCTATTTAACTTTTTTTCTGGCCGCCAGGGGAGCTGCTGCTTTTCATCGTCCATCAACGACACCGATGAAGTTCTTCCGCATTCCACATTCCCCGGAGTCTTTTTCTTTATGGCCTCATAAATTAGTTAAATTTAGCCTCCCACACAAGGTGGTACCTTATTTTCCTACTTGACAGATGCAACTGTCTTTCGGGTTGCAAAGGTCGACAACGGGCTACACAATGGCTGGACACCCACTCCAGCCCGGGCTGGCTTCGAACTCATGACCTTTTGGTCAGAGTGATCTTAATGCAGCTGACACTCAGTCAGCTGCGCCACAATCCCGGTGTTGTTGTTGTCATTCCAGAAGAAATAATCCACCACGAGGCCTTGGGCTTGCACCTTTCCTATCCCTGATCTATCTCTTCAAAGAAGCAAAGAGGGGTAGCACATCCTCTGCTGTTCATTGTATTGTGTGTTTTGGGAAGTGAACGGGAGGAGGTATCCAAATGGCCCTGAAACACCACACTGAGAGCCTTAAGCTGCTAGGGCAGTGGTTCTCAACCTGTGGTCCCTCAGATGTTTTGGCCTTCAACTCCCAGAAATCCTAACAGCTGGTAACTGGCTGGGATTTCTGGGAGTTGTAGGCCAAAACACCTAGGGGCTCACAGGTTGAGAACCACCATGCTAGGGAAACCACACATGCAATGGTATGCTTAATCCATAGTGGTCAACTACACCAGCCCCAAAACCAAAGTGGACAAGAAGTTAATCCTGGAAATCCACATGCTATCCAAGGACTTACAGTCCTTAACATGGGTGAACAAGGGTGAGCCAGTTTAGCTCTGTGCCAAGAAATGTTGAGGAATGCTCCAGAGTTTTGATGAAGCTCAGAGCAGCCCTGCACTTCAGGAAGAGTGTGGACAACTAGGAGTGGTTCCAATGTGAATTGGTCTACTGTCCATGCAGGCTGGTCCACCATCTCTTTTCTCTGAACTCATAATCCAATAATGGCAATAAGATAATGGTCCAACAAGGCAAAATCAGTTTGGCTGAGCTGGACTGCACAGACTCCACTCCACTGCTGCTGCAGGTCAGGCATGGAGTATATTAAGCTGAAATATCACTGCTCTGAATTAGCCACAGATTAATGCACCAGTGTAGATAGGGCTTGAAAAATAGTTATGCAAAACCCACTACAAGAAAATGTAGTGTTATTTGTTACTCAGTTTTTCACTCACAGGAGTTCCCCAAACATTGTACAGTAAGGTATTGTAGATACTATGCAATGATTCTTAGCAGAGGGCAAAGTGGCTGAAAACCCTCAGAGAATCTAATTAGACATTGGAACCACAAGCCAGCTGTAATGTCTTTCAGCTATTCAGTTTGCACTGGATGTGCCCTATCATATCTATGATATACATTACAGAGTTTGAGGTCATTGTATGAAGCTTCCTTTAAAAGAATTGTTTTGGCTTGGTTTTACAATCTGATTTCTTTACTTGAATGACTAGACTGTACTTCTCCCGGTGTTTTGGATTTCTGGAAGCTGAAGTCTGAAACACCTGGAGGAGCAGAGTTTGAAAAATACTAGACTAGTATATCAAATTAGTGATTGTCTAACTGGCCATCAGATGGCACCGTAATATAAACACAATTAACTTTTGGTGGCTGTTTTGAAAAGTTGAATACATGCTGTTCAGTTGCATAGGACAAAAGCAGAAACACGAGTTTGCTGAATGCCTATTAGGGATGTAATTCTTTGCTGATTTCATCCTTAAAGAATGAAACTGTGAGAAAGTTTTCCCAGACTGTGCAGTTTTTGAAAGCTATTCACAGTTCAGCACCTTTTCTGTGCAAAAATTACCCTTTGTTTGTCTTCCCTGAAAACAGCATTAGCTGAAGATATTGTTTTATGGAAGAAATCTGTACAGAAAATTCTATTTCTGGTGCAGAAAAGTTTGCAATTTTGGATTTATTCTGCAATACTATATTATGCACGCACGTGCACACAAACCATTGTCAATTTTTTTTTGCAAAGGATTAGTCCCAAACTGTGAAGCTTCTTGTCACTCCAGGACTCTCCTTGTCAACATTCTCCAAGTTTGAGAGAAACTTGGATTTTAAGAATACTTTTTGAATATTTTAAAAATATTATTTCTATCTCTACTACGTTTACAGTCCCAGATCATGGCAGCTTTAAAAATTGACTTAAGTGCCATAGCCATTGGTTATTGTGTGGATCCTGACCCCAAATGGGGTCACTTTAGCTCAGTGTTGGGGTCATGAAAAAAAATGGCAACAGTAAAAGGTTTCCGAGAACCACCCATTTGCAGCAATCTGTTAGCAACACAGGCGGTGTTTACACTTGACTTCGGTAGAAAATTCTTCAGTTCTACTTCACAAAAAGGAAAATCAGCCTGTTTAGCAACCTATTTTATATACCAATATATCTGAGGTCATGTAAAAAAGTATTCGGCAGAAAGAGATCACATGTGAAAAAGCTGAAGAAGCCCTAGTATAGAGTAAAATCAGCAGGCAGGTGCAAGAGAAAATAATTCATCTCTTATTTAACAATTTGAATTCCTTAACACGTTGACATAATTCTGGCTCTTTTCCCCATCAACAATTTTTGGATTTGTCTTAACACAGTAATATGCATAGAGAGACTCATTATATTAAGCCTCAGAAGTTTTTGAAGTCTCATTTGTAAACAACCACAGAATGGATCAAATCTGCAAACCTGAGATAATTGTAGACAAGGGAAAATCTCAGGTTGGACACTAAGTCTGGAGATAAAGTGGATACAACATAAAGCAACACACCATCTTAATTTTCTAAAACTTTAAAAACTAGGCTGGCATATCCAAACAGATGCCCATCTATTTATTCTTCCTCTTTCATGCAAAGTAACATGCAAATATTTCCATTAAAAAAATTCTTACCAGTTGCACAGAGGAGCAGAACAGAGAAGCCCAGGAGAAGGTATTTGTTCATCTTGAGGACTGTGCTGAGGAAGAGAGAGAGTGAAGAGATGTGTGTGTTGATGACACAAGAGTGAAAGAAGAAAGATCAGCCCTGCAAGTGGATTTAGAGATGGGAGGTTTGGAGTCAAGAATTTATGTCCATCTAGATCTGGGAACAACCAATGGGATGAAGGCTCCA